CGAAGCTCTTCCTGAGCTGGAGACGAGCCTCGCGGATCCAGTCGATCAGCACCTCAGTGACCGCACCCTTGCTGCGCAAGGGGAGGACTGTGGTGTAACGCGAGTAGTCGTCAACCACCAACAGGAAGTAGCGCTCGTAACCCTGCCCACGGACGGGGGCTGGGCCCCACACATCCATGTGAAGCGTCTGCAGGGGAGCCTCTGTCGGGGGGAAGTGGGAGGAGTGAGGAGTAGCCCGGAGGCGACCCTCGACACAGGGGACACAGGAAGGTCCTGGCCCGGAGGGGAGAGGAGGGAGAGACTGGGGAAGACCAGAGACAAGGACACGGGAAGCCATGCTCCGAAGACGGGGCAAGGAGGGGTGGCCAAGACGGTGGTGCCACAGGAGAGTCTCGTGAGACAGGAGGCGACAAGAACAGGGGGCAGACTCAGGACCTGACCGGGACGCAGCAGCAAGCACCTGACCCGACGCAGCCACCTGACCAGACGCAGGGACAGGAGGAGACTCAACGGTCAGGGTGTAGAGACTCGACCCCGGCCGACGCGAGAACGTGGCCAGGTGTCGGCCTGTGCGTGCCTCCGTGCAGTGGGTCACCCGCTGACTCGCAGGAGTAAACTGGTGAACCCCCACATCCTGCAGGTCCGCTCCACTCACCAAGTTTGTAGAGAACGAGGGAAGGTACAGACCCGACAGGGTGCCCGAAGGGGCAGCCGGACACGGGAGGACAGTGGAGAAGTGAGACAGGACAGGACCCCCAGAGGGGTCAGCAAGGGAGACCGCAACCGGCCGGCCGAGCGGCGTAAGGGTAGTGCGGTCTCGAAAGAAGGAGCGAGAAGCTCCGGAGTCAAGTGTGAAAGTGAGGGAGGACGAGGACGAAGCAGTACCTGAGAGCGCAGTCTCACCAGTACCTGAGAGCACAGACGCACTGGCACCTAGAGCAGCAGCCTCACAAGCACCTAGCTCAGTAGTACCAATGCCCGGGTCGGGCTGGAAACAACGGTAACCCTCATTCTCCTCACTATAATCCACAACATACATAGCAGCAAGGATAGCATCAAAATCAAGATCAAAGATCGCTACACCAGCCCTGAGAAGCTCATCCCAGCGAGGGATCTCACTAGCCCCAGGGAAGTGCTGACGCCAAGCGTCCGTCAGGCGGCCAAAGCAGCGCTGGGTGGCGTGGGCACCCCCACACTGCTCACCCGCGCGGTCGCCGGAACGAAGAACGTAGGTGCAGGGACCAGTACCCCCACCCCTCTGACGCCCAGCGTACCACTCACGAAGCTGCTGAGGCGGAGGGATGTCCCGCGAGCGCTGCTGCTGCTGCTGCCGCTGCGAGCGCTGGCCACCACCACCGCCGCTACACTGCTGGGTACCACCTCGACCAGCTCCACCTCCTCCACCACCACCGCCTCCTCCGCTGCCGCCTCCACCGCCTCCACCTCCGCCGCCTCCACCACCGCCGCTGCCTCCACCACCACCGCTGGCACCACCACCACCGTCTCCGCCACTGCTGCCACCACCACCACCACCTCCACCACTAGTCCCGCCGCCACCCCCACTCCCTCCGCCGCCACCGCCGCCACCGCCACCGCCCCCTCCAGCTCCACCCGCGCCCTTGCCCCCCTTGCCCTTGCTGGAGCGACGTCTCCCACTAGGGGCAGACGACGCGCCGACCGACTCAAGACCAAGCAGGTCGGCAGCAGCAGCAGAGGCAACAGAGGGCAGCAAGGGGGAAGGAGAGCACCCCTCAAAGATGGGGGTGCGAGGGTCACCACGAGAAGCACCTACAGCGACTATGCTCTTCTCCGCTGCGAGGAGGGCCTTCTCGAGGAGGTCGACGGTGAGGGTGGTGGGACAGACTGCGAGAAAGTGGTCCCTGACGACGCGAAGGGAGTCAGGGAGGCGCGCGACTACGTAGTAGAGAGCGATGTACATGGGGGGGGGGGTTCTTAGCGCAGAACTCAGCAGGAAGGGCGGCGCGGTAGCGAGTGTCACTAGTGCGGAGGTGCGTAATGAGGTCAGCGACAGTGGGAAAGGCAGAGAGGTCAGGAAAGAGGTAGGGAAGCATGAGACGGCTCAGTGCAGCAGTGGCAGGGGAGGAGTAGCGCGCAACTACAGCGTCGTACAAGGTCTGAGCACTCTTGTACTGACTAAAGTGCGCACGCTCAGAGGTAGGGAGGTGGCGACGCACAGCAAGACGTGCAGCAGCATCGCGGGTGGCCCACTTAGAGCGGACAGCGGGATCAGCATCAGCAGCAGGAGCAGGAGAGGCACCAGAGGTGAGGTCAAAGAGAGAAAGGTCGTCAGCCCTGTCGCACTGTAAGAACAGCTGCAGGTCGTCTAACCAGACCTCAAAATCAATGGCGCGACCCTCAGCGTCAAAAGCTAGGACACTAGGGGTAGCCATGGCGACGACAGCGACGCAGTGCAAGCAGTAGGGAAAGAGCTCGCAGTGTCAGTGGGACTGTGCTCACCAGGCAGGGCAGGTCGTGCAGCTATGCAGAAAGGCGGCTCAGCGACCGGGCGGCTCGGGTGCACAGCGGCTCGGCTCCCGGGCGGCTCTGCGGCTGGGCGGCTCGGGCGCAGGGCGGCTCGGCTCCCGGGCGGCTCGGCGGCTGGGCGGCTCGGGTGCAGGGCGGCTCGGCTCCCGGGCGGCTCGGCGGCAGGGCGGCTCGGGTCCCGGGCGGTTCGGCTGCTGGGGCGGCTCGGCCGGGAGATGCAGGGGCGGGGCCGTCAGGTGCAGCGGCGGGTCGACCGGTGCAGTGGCGGGCCGGCAGGTTCAGCGGCGGGCCGGCAGGTGCAGCGGCGGGCCGGCAGGTGCAGCGGCGGGCCGGCAGGTGCAGGCGGCGGGCCGTAGGGTGCAGCGGCGGGCCGTAGGGTGCCACGGCGGGCCGGCAGGTGCAGCGGCGGGCCGGCAGGTGCAGCGGCGGGCCGGCAGGTGCAGGCGGCGGGCCGTAGGGTGCAGCGGCGGGCCGTAGGGTGCCGCGGCGGGCCGGCAGGTGCAGCGGTGGGGCCGTCAGGTGAAGCTGCGGGCCGCTGGGTGCAGCGGCGGGCCGGCAGGTGCAGCGGCGGGCCGGCAGGAGCAGCGGCGGGGCCGTCAGGTGAGGCGGCGGGCCGGCAGGAGCAGCGGCGGGCCGTAGGGTGCAGCGGCGGGCCGTAGGGTGCAGCGGCGGGGCCGTCAGAGGCGGCGGCGGGGCCGCGGCAGTAGAGGCGGGGCCGCTTCAGGGGAGGCGGCGGGGCCGCGTCAGGGGAGGCGGCGGGGCCGCGTCAGGGGAGGCGGCGGGGCCGCGTCAGGGGAGGCGGCGGGGCCGCGTCAAGCAGGCGGCGGGGCCGCGATCAGGAGAGGTGGCGGGGCCGCGTCTGAGGGACAGCGGGGCCGCGAGGGAAAAGGCGACCCGAGGGGTCGCTAAAAAAAAAAAAGGGCGCGCCTCGGGGCGCGCTTCGGTGGGCCCTAAAAAAACGGTCCTAAGGCAGGACCCGCTCTATACCATGTGAAGCAAGGAAAACAGGAATGAAATGACTAAGTCAGAGTTGGGTACAAATACAACCCTAGAAAGCTGTACCCCATATGTGCTACCCCACTATAGCCTACAAACATGCATCAGTTATAATAATCCGACAATTGGTTCATTTTTCATCTGGGCTCAGATTTGGGGGGAGGCACGCACTACTTGACTTGGTATATTCCAAACACAGCGTTCTATTTCCTCATTCTCTGTTGCTTCTCTCTCTCGTTTTCTACTTCGACAGTCTTTCCAACCTTTTCCCTTTCTCTAGCTCTTCGGCTTAGAGCCAACCATTGCCTCCGTCCACCTCCAACCATTTCCCGCCAGGTTCTTCTCTCCCATTACCTATACAAAATGACTTTAATATTTTATTCGGTTTCCACGTCTTTATAGTATCCTCTACGCATGACTGTTTGCAACAAAAACGTGCGTACAGTGGCACTATGGTTAGTACATTAAACATTGCCGTTGCTTTATATTGAACGTTTCCTACTGCTAACGAGGAGTGAAATTGTCGCGATTTTGCAGGCGACTGGTTTGCGCTTCCAGCATACCCTGTTATGCTGTGCTTGACCTTAGTGTTATTCTCTTTAGCACTGTTGTTGGGAGCTGATTTGTAAGTTTCCAGCGTTTTTCGTACGTGTCGTACCTTGTCTCCCGTTATTGCAGGGTGTGGTTGGTTGGACTTGTATTCCAGGCTCACTCACTATCGATGGTCGTGATCACACATGCCTGTGAAGTTGATTATCTCATGGTTGATTTTGTTCTCTTGTGTAATGTTATGTTAATGTATTTATTCAGCTATTCTCTTTATAGCTAACGTCCACAGTACGACCATTAAACTTCAAATGAACAACCAATAGGAATGTGAAATTGGTTAAAATGTACTTCTAGATGGAGTACAAATTGCTTTGTGACTGCATGGTAATTACTATATACATACTGCATGTTTTGGGGGGACTAGTGTCATAGTGTGAACCTCGCACATACTATATTTGATTGTCTGGAGTATCTGTAGTCTGTTTGCAAACTCTCTACAATATACGCTCTTAGTATGATATAGAGTATGTACAAAGCACATACTGTATTGCCAGGTATAGAGTAGCTCGTTAGTCACATAACCTATACTTACATAGTTCGTCAGTACAATGTGCGCTCTACGTATTCACAATGTGTAGACATTGTGTTTACTTAGTATTTTCGCCGAAAAAATACGCGATGTGGGTGGGGCAAGCACGGGCGTGCAAGGGGGGCTCTTAGCGGCAGAAGCGGCCGAGACAGCGGCGGCGATGGCGGTGGAAGCGGCGGAGGCAGCAGCATCCTTGCGAGCAGCACAGGCCGGAGCGGCGGCGGCGAAGAGGCGGTGGAAGCCCGCCCCGCTCGCGCTCCGCCTGGATCACTTCCTTACCGATGCCGCCCCCGCCGCCGGCGTCACCATCACCGTTACCGCAGCAATTCCCGCTGCGCGCGCCCTGGGATGGGGAGCGCAGATGGGGGCAGCAGCGGGCGGCCGTGCAGAGGGGGAAGGGGAGGCCGCACAGAAGGCAGATGGATGGGAAGCAAGCAACTGGGTAGGTGAGGGCGAGGGAGGAGAAAGGGAGGAGAGAAGCGGCAAGGGAAGGGGCAAGGAGGAGAGGATTGGGGAGGAGAGGTGGAGGGAGCGGAGGAGTATGGAGGGGAGGAGAAGGGAGGGGAAGAGAAGAGAGGAGAGGAGCAAGGAGGGAAAAAGCAGGGCTGGGAGGAGAAGAGAGGGCAAGAAGGCAGCGTAGTGGATCTCAGAATCCCAGCCACTAGACCACTGGTATAAAAGGGCTTGTTAAGTAGCGGGTCAGTGCGCCCATAACCCACCAGGACAACGAGCCTGTAGCCCTTCCCTAGGATCGATCGGGGATCACCAGTGGACCTCTAACACCCCCCCGCACTGGGATGCCCGAAGTGCACACACTGGGATTCGAACCCGAGACCTTCGCTCAAGATACCATCTCAGAATCCCAGCCACTAGACCACTGGGATAAAAGGGCTTGTTAAGTAGCGGGTCAGTGCGCCCATCACCCCCCAGGACAACGAGCCTGTAACCCTTCCCTAGGATCGATCGGGGATCACCAGTGGACCTCTGACAGTGGAGGCAAACTCAGCCGAGCACTTTCATTGGCGCGGAGGCATGCATCAGGTGAGGCGAGGAGGCGACTTCTTGCCACTGAGCACCATAGATGAGCCATGGTGCCGTGCTGGCTATTGAGAATTCTCAACAACCAGCTGGCCACCACGAGAATACACCTTGTGACCACCAGCCAGCCCCCAAATACCGCTGATGAGTCGTGATGCTGTGAGTGACGCTGTGAGTGACGCTGTGAGTGGTGCTGTGAGTGATGCTGTGAGTGATGCTGTGAGTGATGCTGTGAGTGATGCTGTGAGTGATGCTATGAGTGATGCTGTGAGTGACGCTGTGAGTGATGTTGTGAGTGGTGCTGTGAGTGATGCTGTGAGTGATGCTGTGAGTGGTGCTGTGAGTGGTGCTGTGAGTGGTGCTGTGAGTGATGCTGTGAGTGATGTTGTGAGTGATGCTGTGAGTGATGCTGTGAGTGATGTTGTGAGTGATGCTATGAGTGATGCTGTGAGTGATGCTGTGAGTGATGTTGTGAGTGATGTTGTGAGTGATGCTCTGAGATCAACGCGCTCAAAGTCAGGCTGTTTCTGAAAGACCCCCTCAAGGACCCCCTCAAGGCGATACTGGAGGGGCGATTGCAGTGGGAGGGGGAAATGGCTACGGGGGGGAAAGCGGCATTAGTGAGTTACATCATGCGTTAATGGCCATTCCTTCGCTCCCCAATATCTGTCTTGCTCTCACTGCTGCTCCCTAGTACCCTCTCCGTTCCCTCCTTCCTCGTCCACATGCGTCCCCCACCGCTCTCATGGGTGCAGGGGAGGAGTTCTTTCCTTTCCCCTCCATAGATTGCGATGATGCACCGTGTGCTGGCAAGGGCTGAAGGAGGTGGGGCAGGCGGTGCGGGGCACGGCTGATGAAGATTCCACCTCATGCACCCCACCCCATCCACCCTCCACCCTGCCATCCTGGTGGTCTCGATGCGGCCCTCGCGCCATCCCATGAGACGCTGCCGCATGTACCATTCCCACTTCCAAGTGCCGCTATCCACCCACGCATATCCCCCTCTCCTTCATATCCCTAGGCGGTCTTGACGCGGCCCTTTCTTCCAATCTATCAGACGCCGCCACTCGCAGCATTCCCGTGGTTGTGGCTCGCTCCTGACGCTGCCTGGCCAAGGTGAGTGCAGGCTTAGGCGGGATGTTAGTTCTATTTCGAAAGTGCATGCGTGAGGGTTAACGCATACAGCATTTTCGTGGTTGTGGCTCCTTGCCGACGCTCAAGGTTCATGTTGGGAGTAGCAGCAAACTTCTGAGAAAACGCTTTGCAAACGGATCAAGACTCGTAAAAATAAAAGTTCGTAGAAAATCAAGAAGATCTCAAAGCCTCCAAACCTCGAAAAACCTTCCCGACGCTGCCTGGCCAAGGAGACTACAGTGCATGGTAAGCTGAGTGCAGGCTGAGGTGCGGTGTTGGTGCTACCATCAGGTTACGCACGGTGCGGTGGGGTGTTGGTTCTGTCCGGTAGCTCACATAAAGGTGGGTTATTGGTGCCACCTGACAAAATTAGAAGGAAGAAAGAGGAATGAACTAGCAGAAATGGGGATACAAATAGCAAACCCTAGAAGGGTTGTACTCGCTATAGAGCACCCCACTACAGGCTAAAACATAAGAATAATATTCTGACACACCCCCATAGCCAAAGTGGGGTGTAATCAGCAGAGCAGGCAAAGCAAAACAAGCTCAGGGTGGATCACAATGTCACCACACATTCTGAGCACAAGTTCAAGAAGAAATAGTTTAGAGTTCACAATTATAAGCAAAGCTAGTGGTAGTCACAACGGGCAAGTGAGGAGGAGGAGGGAGAGTGAGGGGAGAGGAGACAGGAGGCGACGGCTGAAGCTGCAGACACACGGGCAACAGGAGGCAGACTGGCACAGCGGCTACCGGACAGCGCCCGGACTACAGGAGTAACAGGCCCCGCGGCTCAAATAGCGGCGGACGGGCAACGGACCCACGGGCGGCTGGCACAGCTGGCTACGACTGGGCTACCGGGACAGCGCCCCGGACTACAGGTGCTGCGAACGACAAACTGACAACCTCCACTCAACCTCTCGCACACAGTCCCACCCCCCTGATACACACCCACTGCTACACCGCTAGCTCTACTCCCACGCACCCCCCTTAAACCCTAAACCCGAGTCTCCCACACAACCACCCCCCTCAGCGACAGCTGCAGCAGTGGGAGACGGAGGAGGAGGAGGAGCAAAGGGAGGAAGGCACACCGAGCACCCCCATACCCGCCACCCCACAGCGGCCCCCGAAGGAGCCGCGACGGGCGACGGGAAATGGGGGGGAGGGGAGAAAAAGGGGGGGGGGGGGGGGGGGCCGGTGCCGCGACGAGGGGCGGGGCCGCGACGGTCGGGGCGGGGCCGCGACATAGGGCGGGGCCGCGACGTAGGGCGGGGCCGCGACATAGGGCGGGGCCGCAACATAGGGCGGGGCCGCAAAGGTAGGGCGGGGCCGAGCCGGGCAGGCGTACGGGCGGCGACGGGCCGGGGCGGGGCCGCGACGAAGGGCGGGGCCGAGCCGGGCAGGCGCACGGGCGGCGACGGGCCGGGGCGGGGCCGCGACGTAGAGCGGGGCCGCGTTGAGGGGCGGGGCCGCGACGATCGGGGCGGGGCCGCGTAGTAGGGGAGAAGCCCGCCGCGCGCCCCGGGGCGCACAGCGGGCAATGAACCGTTGCGCGCCTCGGGGCGCACGGCGGGCAGAAAACCGCCGCGCACCTCGGGGCGCACGGCGGGCAGAAAACCGCCGCGCGCCTCGGGGCGCACGGCGGGCAGAAAACCGCCGCGCGCCTCGGGGCGCACGGCGGGATGAAAAAAAATGCCGCACGCCACGGGGCGTGCGGCTCAGAGAGTAGTAGCAGTAGTAGCAGCGGAAGCTAAGCGGTGGTAAGCCCACCCACATGATCGATCCAGGGGGATCGACCTGCTCTGATAGCATGACAAAATTAGAAGGAAGAAAGAGGAATGAACTAGCAGAAATGGGGATACAAATAGCAAACCCTAGAAGGGTTGTACTCGCTATAGAGCACCCCACTACAGGCTAGAACATAAGAATAATATTCTGACACCACCATCAGGTAGCGCACATTGAGGTGTGGAATCGGGGGAGGCATGCGTGAGGGGTATTGCAAGCAGCCTTCCTATGGTGATGCCTCTCTCTCACGGCACTGTCTGGCCAAGGGAAATGATTGGCTGGTCAAGGCGAGGTGGGTTTCTCTTCACCAGGCTGTGAGGAGTGAGGAGTGATGCCATGTGACATGTGACCATGCGGATGGAAGGCAGAGGGGGTTGAGGGGAGCGAAAGAAGTGTATGTTTTCTAAGTTCCATTGTATCATCCGGAGGAGTGGGTTTACATACTAGCATCGAGTACCTACCGTACTCACTTGCAGGGGCCGTCTCACGCAGCCCTTCTGTCTTCATGCATATTCCCTCTCGACTGTTTTTCCCCCGCAGCCTTTCTGGTGATCGTCATGGCGGGGCAGTGAGCAGCTGAGAGGGGGGTATGTTATGTTGCATTCATCACCATGGTGATGCTGCATTCAGAACCGCATTGCATTGAATTGCACCCTCTCATCTCATGCATACTCATGTTCGGCTGTCTATCGACCACTTCCCCTCTGCTCACCTCTTGATTTCAATGTAGCCCCTCACGTCGCCCCTCACCCTTGCCATGACCCTTACTCCTTAGCTTCTCTTCGCTGCTTGCCAGGCCTTGAACCGCCCGCGCTGCCGAGTGAACCGCGGCCATTCTGTTCGACAGTAGGGCCATCCTTGCCCCTCGCCCATCACCCCTCACCTCATCACCTCTCCTCCTCTTCATTTTCTCCCTGCCAGGATGCTAAAGAGGGACTGGGAACTGAATGTAGCTGAAGTGCTGTAAGTTGTGCTTGCATCGCCCCCATCCACACACAGAAGGGGTGCACACTCGACGGGGTGCACATCCTGCTGAGGAGCGTTTTGGTAGAGGAGCGGGCGGAGCAGCAAGGAGTCCAGTCAACAAGGCTGGAACCAAGACTCTCTAAGGACAAACGCGTTGGAGTTATGAAACAAGGGATTTTCTTTTGGCAACAGCTGCACTCTTGCTCCCACCGCCCTCACACCACCAGTGCCCTCTCACTCCCACCACCAATTCTGCCATGCAGGAAACAAACCCAGGCAGCACGAGGTCCACCAGGCAGGCTGCAGCCAATAATCGTGACAGTCAAATGCAGAGTCATGGGGGGGAGAATTACCAATAAGAACCCAACGCGGGCAGTTTGGGTTGTGTGTACCCTTCAGTCAATGATGAAACGTAATAAGTGGTACCGGTACGGGTAAATTATGTAATTGCACTGCACTAGCCAAGTTCGTATATTTGTAGCGCGTGAATGATTGCCCGTGATGGTTGAAGTTGACTATTGAGTTTGTTGAATTCGCGAAGAGCTCCATTTGGGATTTTTTCAATAAATTAGCGTGAGAGAGCGTGCTGGCTGAGGCACGCTGTCATTGGCCTGACTCCCGTGGGGCGGGAGGGGGGAGGGGGGCAGGAGGCAGTTGCTACGTGGGTGCCGGGAAGACAGCACAGGGGCTGTACGCACATGCATGGGGCACACAGGCTGATGGAGATATGGTGGGGATATGATGGGGATGTGATGGGGATGTGATGGGGATATGATGGGGATTTGATGGGGATACTATGGTTGGGATATGATGGGGATATGATGGGGATGTGATGGGGATATGATGGGGATATGATGGGGATATGATGGGGATGTGATGGGGATATGATGGGGATTTGATGGGGATATGGTTGGGATATGATGGAGATATGATGGGGATATGATGGGGATGTGATGGGGATATGATGGGGATATGATGGGGATTTGATGGGGATATGGTTGGGATATGATGGGGATTTGATGGGGATGATGGGGATATGATGGGGATATGATGGGGATATGATGGGGATATGATGGGGATATGATGGGGATATGATGGGGATTTGATGGAGATTTGATGGGGATATGGTTGGGATATGATGGGGATATGAAGGGGATATGATGGGGATATGATGGGAATATGACGGGGATATGATGGGGATATGATGGGGATATGATGGGGATATGGTGGGGATATGATGGGGATGTGATGGGGATATGATGGGGATATGATGGGGATATGATTGGGATATGATGGGGATTTGATGGGGATATGGTTGGGATATGATGGGGATATGATGGGGATATGATGGGGATATGATGGGGATATCATGGGGATATGATGGGGATGTGATGGGGATATGATGGGGATGTGATGGGGATATGATGGGGATATGATGGGGATATGATGGGGATGTGATGGGGATATGATGGGGATATGATGGGGATATCATGGGGATATCATGGGGATATGATGGGGATATGATGGGGATATGATGGGGATATGGTGGGGATATGGTGGGGATATGGTGGGAGTATGAGAGCAATGATGGGCTGATGGGGATATGATGGGGATATGGTGGGAGTATGAGAGCAATGATGGGCTGATGGGGATATGAGAGCAATGATGGGCTGATGAGGATATGAGAGAAATGATGGGCTGATGGGGTTATGATGGGGATATGAGAGCAATGATGGGCTGATGGGGTTATGATGGGAATATGAGAGCAATGATGGGCTGATGGGGTTATGATGGGGGTATGAGAGCAAAAAAGGGCTGATGAGGTTATGATGGAGATATGAGAGCAATGATGGGCTGATGGGGTTATGATGGGGATATGAGAGCAATGATGGGCTGATGATGTTATGATGGGGCCAGAGCGGGACAATCGCTGCC